AATGTATGAAGATATAAATATAAACTTATAATCTTATCTCACAGTATGCCACAAAATAACAAGCACGTTCTGATATGGCGTAGGAGTTTCTAAGACGTACTAGGGACTGGAAATACTGAGTACGATACTAGCATCGGATATGTTTTACTGGAACATCGTTAGTTTTAGAGCGGAACATCCGTGTGCGTGTGCGCGTGCATGCATGTGGGAAATACCAACGAAGTTTAGTTGTCATTATAATTGTCAAAATTGCTTGCCTTGGTTAAAGTTTCTTAAACAGTATTTGTGCGAAACGATGTTTACTTTCCAAACGGATGGTTATGGTTGAGTGAAAATATCGTGACACAATTAATGATATACCGACACCTAATGACTTTTGTTGTGTGAGTGTTACACACTTCACACCATATTCTTACACATTTCAGTAGATACTAAGTCTCGTTTGTGGTGATTGATGTACTTCCGGTATGTATTTCCGGTATAAATGATTTGGCTTTTCTAGGGCGGAAGTAAGAATAAAGGACAGTTGTATGGATCCTTCACATTACAGACGATCACACATTCATAGAAACGCAGAGTTGCTATTGATTTCTGAGTAATTGGCACTCTCTGTTGTAGATGATAAACATATATAGTGTGTCAGGTAAACACTGCTGCACGCGCTCTTTGTTCTCAGCGTATTAGTGGTACATGTTTTAAATGGTCAAATGTGTGTGACGTAAAAAGAAACAATGGATAGTGTAATTTAAATCTAACCACTGATTAACAGGGTCGCATTATAGCCAGTGATACTCTACTAGATTTTTTTTTTAGATAACAATATCGTTGATAACGAGGATACCTGTCAGATATAGATGTGTACGACTCCATGATTACACGGATTTACTGCTCAGCTGTCACAATTTACTATTCACTTTGTGTCTTTCGTAAAACCCTCGAAATTGCATGTATATACTCTACTGGTGGACTTTTAGTCGTCGAGATTTGCCGTAACATGTGTTTGAATTCATTCGGAAGGTGACTTGATACAGAATATACAATGTACACAATTCTAAAATTGGCTGATATTTCAAAATCACGAAATTCATTCAATTATGAGTCTCTAAATTTCGGCATTTTGTTCGATCACTTTGGATTCTTCTCAGTCGCCTCCTGATTTTCAAAACTTAGACATCATTGACGAGTCCTAGAAGGACGAAATAGCTGCGTGATGTAACATCATTGACGAGTCCTAGAAGGACGAAATAGCTGCGTGATGTAACATCATTGACGAGTCCTAGAAGGACGAAATAGCTGCGTGATGTAACATCATTGACGAGTCCTAGAAGGACGACATAGCTGCGTGATGTAACATCATTGACGAGTCCTAGAAGGACGAAATAGCTGCGTGATGTAACATCATTGACGAGTCCTAGAAGGACGAAATAGCTGCGTGATGTAACATCATTGACGAGTCCTAGAAGGACGAAATAGCTGCGTGATGTAACATCATTGACGAGTCCTAGAAGGACGAAATAGCTGCGTGATCTAACATCATTGACGAGTCCTAGAAGGACGAAATAGCTGCGTGATGTAACATCATTGACGAGTCCTAGAAGGACGAAATAGCTGCGTGATGTAACATCATTGACGAGTCCTAGAAGGAACGAAATAGCTGCGTGATGTAACATCATTGACGAGTCCTAGAAGGACGAAATAGCTGCGTGATGTAACATCATTGACGAGTCCTAGAAGGACGAAATAGCTGCGTGATCTAACATCATTGACGAGTCCTAGAAGGACGAAATAGCTGCGTGATGTAACATCATTGACGAGTCCTAGAAGGACGAAATAGCTGCTTGATGTAACATCATTGACGAGTCCTAGAAGGACGAAAAAGCTGCGTGATGTAACATCATTGACGAGTCCTAGAAGGACGAAATAGCTGCGTGATGTAACATCATTGACGAGTCCTAGAAGGACGAAATAGCTGCGTGAGGCAGTTTGATACTACTGTAAAGATGTATTTCACCAATGTGCCATTTGCTAAATCTAGTGACGTCAGATCATGTTGAGCTGTTGAGAGATCTTACTAATGTATTGAGACCCGGTGTCAAGTGACGTCAGGTCTTGCTTATCTATTGAAAAGTCTACGTGACGTACAAATCTGGCTTATCTGTGTCAAATGACGTCAGATCCGGCTAATCTGTTGAAACCTGGTGTAAATGACGTGATCTCTAGCTAAACAGTTGAGACTTGGTGTAAAGTGACGTCATGTCTCGCTAATGTATTGAGACTGTGTAATGTGATGTCATATCTTGCTAATGTATTGAGACCTGGCGTTAAGTGACGTCATATCTCGCTAATGTAGGCGACCTAGTGTAATGTGACGTCATATCTTGCTAATGTATTGAGACCTTGCGTTAAGTGACGTCATATCATACTAATGTATTGAGACCTGGTGTAAAGTGACGTCATATCATACCAATTTATTGAAACCTGGTGCAAAGTGACGTCATATCTCGCTTATATAGGCGACCTAGTGTAATGTGACGTCATATCTCGCTAATGTACGAGACCTGATGTAAAGTGACGTCAAATAACTCCTAGATTTCCGCACTCAAGGCCTCTACACGTAGAAAGACGAAACATCTGTATGATGTGAATTTAATCACCCTTTACTATACATTACTGATATTGTATCAGATACTATGTTATTGATCGGCGTTGTTCATTAATGTGTTTATTGTAGAACATTGTATAGTCGTCTATATCTCAGAAAAAGTACACAATTGGTTTACGGAACATTGACTTAGTGTTTATAAATATTGATTATGTATTATTAAGTAAGACACTTGTAGAGAATATTGACTAAATGTCGCCCATCGATAAGTACATATCATTATGTTTTTATTTATCAATCGGATTAAGTAGCCAATTCTACATAATTCACATCACAAACGAGAAGCAATTGATTATATTATACTGGTAGTTAAGAGAAAATGTCATCCATATATAATTGTGGAACATCGGGGTTATTTCATTGATTTCCCGTGTTACTGTAAAGTGTACGGACCAGTTAGATGTAGTATGTATATCGATAAAGGGTGTGTTTCCTACCAATACAGAAACGCTGATTTCAAACTTCGAATTCTGATGTAGGGTTCATCTGATGTTTCCTCTATATAATTGTCTAATTGCACTAACATATGCTGTGTTGTAAGATTGTTACGATAATCACGTGACAGAAAGTGTGTAGTTGGTCCAGAGATAAGGCCGATACGGTAAAATGTGACGACTGGTAACTCGTCATTTATCTCACTATCTTACTGTCAGTTGATCGTTTTGACAAAGGCCATTGTTGTTCTTCATTTCGACCAGAACCATTTACTACATTACGATCTAGGTAGTCGGTCTAACCTGGTTTCTCCGGCGCGTGACACACGCTTGTCACATATCTATTAGTCTCATGTTGATTGTCACAATTGCATCTGTTAGCATGTTTCAAATCGACACATACACAGAGCTAGTCAAGCCAGAAAATCGATAACAGAGAAATACTGTTAGATGACATTAGATTGGGCGACATTAACTTGCTACTGTCATTGGTATCACGTGACAACACGCTGGGACTACCGACGTTACCATCCATTATCACTGATGACGTCACATTTTCTAGGTGACACGGCCATTATCCTTTATCATATGAACCAAGAGGTGTGACGTGGTATGTCATTATCAATTATGACGTCATAGAATGAGAGGTACACCATTTTCATATGATGAATTTGAAGGCTTATACATTTAAATATGCACAGCCAATCATTTTAGCCTCAGCAACTCGAGGCATAGCCTTTGACATGCCACTCTCGCTGATGACGTCATAAATGAAGCCGGCAAAATTATCTTGCCAGTGTTAATAGTTTGACTGTATGATTTTTATTACATCAAATAACATGATAAAATAATAAGTACGAAAACAGTTTTTGTTCTTGACGTTCTCCTGAGGATAATACAGATATACAAAGTGCCTGGATATATATACATGTTAGTGTTTATAGCATAATTAGAAGTTAACCGGCATCAGTGACTGTGACTACAGGTAGATAATTAACATTTTCTAGATTAGGTAGTATCAACAATAAATTGTATGATATAAGTCATTCTATGTTTTAGACTTTGGTCTCTAAAATCAGTTACAAATATATTCGAAAGATTTTATAATATGTATGTATATTGGGGGAATGAATTGGGATACTACCACTGAGATTACACCAGCCATTGTAGACACAATACTGATTATAACTTGTGTTCTGTGTCTTCTCCTGAGAACTGTGTGGACTGATCATAGAAATGATGTGTTGTAGATATAGACCACAAGGCATATTTCAGGATTCATTTTTGGATAAAATATTTTTTGTAATATTTTCATCCTTGTACTCTGTACTTAAAATTGTTATTCATTAGTATGGCATTTTTACAAGTGTTATGAATGAAATGACTTGGATCGTTTAATGCTCTCGGCGTTGATGTTAGTATAACACTATAAAACATATATTGTTTACTTATTTTTTCCTTTGTGTTTCTCATCTACTTCAATAATATTATAATTTTCACCTGACATGTAGGTAGTGTACATGTCTGTCTTTAACTACAGGCTAGATACTCTCAGAATGTCTTTCTCCCTTTAAGGATCATTTAGCGTTTAGAAATATGTGTTTCAGAAGAGCTGAAGTCTTAACGCGAGCATCATAGCCGACATATGTGAAAGATATAAACCAGTTTTTGTTTGATTGCCGACTAAGTCGGTTACTCACTTTTTTTATCCAACGACAGAGTTATCAGCTTTGAAAGTGTCATTCCCTGTCGTTATAGTCACAGTTAAATAACATGGCATGGCATGTTATATAGATAGGCTTGTATCAAAATATTATTGAGTTCAACTCCCAACATATTAGTTTTGTTCAAACTATATTTATAATGTGATTTCCAGTTTATAATATACATATATATATTTACAGAGAAACTTTTCTACACAACGAACACATGAAACTTGTGGAGAAGAGGCAGGCGACTGACGAAACGGACCAACAGAAGGTGAAGGAATCCAAAACATGTGTTGTGATGTGATCAATGAACCGTGAAATCGGCTGAGGCACCACTAGTGATGATGGACATTTTACTAAAAATCATCTATTTTCTTACATACTTTTCCATGTAACTTGTATATTGTTTAATTATATTAATACTTTCCAATCAAAACTGTTAACACCTTGTTTTAAACCGTTAAGACTTGGCATTCAGATATTTTTTGTACCGAGAATTATCAGGATTCCAAACCTAGTTAGTATACAGGTAAGATCTGAAATAGTACTATCGCTTTCTTGTTTTATAATTGGCGTGGTCAGATGTTTTAACCAAGAATCTTTTTGAAAATGTGCCCGTCCACAAAAGTGCTTGACATATACATTTTAACAAAATAATGTTTTTTTCTTTTATCGATTTAAAGCAATTCTTGATTTTTTTCTGAAAACCGATCATATCAATTTTCGCCACTTTAATATTTTGTAGACGTGTAAGACTGATCGCTTGTCAGTAGATGTAGGTATTGAACTAATCAAAGAGAGGTTTATATCAATATTTTTATATATACATTAATGACCTGCTTTATTCAGTAGTGAATTTCTTAATGACCAGCTCAACCCTCTGGTTGTAGATATCTCCGGGTTTATTATTGAGAGTCCGGGGTGTCTTCCTGGATATAATATCTCCGGGTTTATTATTGAGAGTCCGGGGTGTCTTCCTGGATATAATATCTCCGGGTTTATTATTGAGAGTCCTGGGTGTCTTCCTGGATATGATATCTCCGGGGTGTCTTCCTAGATATAATATCTCCGGGTTTATTATCGAGAGTCCGGGATGTCTTCCTGGATATAATATCTCCGTGTTTATTATCGAGAGTCCGGGGTGTCATCCTGGATATAATATCTCCGGGTTTATTATTGAGAGTCCGGGGTGTCTTCCTGGATATAATATCTCCGGGTTTATTATTGAGAGTCCGGGATAACGTCCCAGATATGATATCTCCGAATTTGTTAATGATAGGCCTGGATAACTTCCCGGATATATCCCCGGATGTGTCAATGAGGGTCTATGCTGTCTTTCCGGATATGATTTTTCCGGTTTTATTATGGAGAGTCCGGACTATCTTCCCATATATTTCTTCTAATTTACTATCGAGAGTCTGGACTGTGTTTCAAGAATTTGATTCAAAATTTTACAAATCATCAAACAATCTAATTTAACTGTCACAATCAATATTTTACTGTCGATTCAAAATTCAAAATTCGAATGGATTGTTTGTGAATGGTGTTATATTAACAGTAAATATTATGGTTGAGATTGACGTTGGATTATTTTCTATCTTGTTTTGTATTGTATTGTTATACCGAGGTTACGACATAGGTTTTAACTACGAAACGTCATTATTTCTTGATTTCCTCCAAATTGAGATTGCAAAGAATATTAACAAGTTATAGCGTTCAATTAATGAAATGTTATAATTAGTCATATATAGTGAATTAAACAGCTGTTTATAGTTGTAGTATTTAAGACTTGTTGAAATACCTGATTATGTTATCGCTGTCTAATTATGTACACATTTTTCATAATCAAATGGATTTTATCTGTAATAGAGACTACCCTCTAGAAGTTCATACTTGAAATCAAAGCCAATATATAGAAAACCTAGAACTGTACATCAGATGTGACGAGTATGTTACGATATTGTAGTTTACCGATTGTATCGTGAATTGTATTGTTGATCGTTTACTTAAAATACAATTAGACCTAACAAGATAAACAAGAATAACTTGTTATTTTTTATATATATATATATATTCATTTAATTGTTTCAGTTTTAGTACATATACATTAGTAACCAGATATGTACAGTTTCTGTATGCTGCCCTAAAGCTTATGTGATACCTGGACATTCTTATCATCATAGACAGGAATGGGAGGCTTTCAACAATAAATCATGAATTAAATCTAACTTCATTTTGTTTTTTGTTGGTGATTCCAGTGAACATGGACTCAATTATCTACACAAATATGTAATATCCCAGAATGCTTATAAATGAACCACGTGACCTGTTTACATTATCGAGATGTAGATCGCGGGATTATTTCTTATGATACAGAAATTTTAACGTTTTTCTTCGAACGAAATTTGTGATTTTTAAAATGAATTCCTTAACGATATAGATATGTTAAAAATAATATCAATCAGCATATTAAGAAATGCTGACAATAAATGATGAGATTCCGTGTTTCGTCAACTTCCAACACTGGTATTACCCTAGATTTAAATGGAAGCATTGAATGATGGTAAGTTGAAGTTTATCGTATTTCATAACTTCTAATGTAAACAAAGCATCACAGCTACGAACAATTGTTAAAATTATTAAACCGTACTGATAATGATGTACATTAAATTTACAAACAATGTCACTATAAACAAGCGTATTCTCCATCAACGCGCACCTGGCACCCAGAAAAAAAACCGGAGAAAGAACCCGGAAAGCTGTGTCCAAAGGCCGGAAAAGCAATTTTATCGGAACAGGTGGACCTAGGAGTAACATTGGACCTGTGTTGTTTTGGAAAAAATATGGGTTGTTTTCACATGCGATCAAAAGACAGAGAAAGAAAAGAATTAAAAGTAACAAATAATGTAAGAACAAAAAACTAACAAACAAACATCAGTGTCCGGCTGCTGAGATGACAGCTAGAAAGTGACCATACAGCACGCGTTCCTGAGGTACGAACACGTGTTCCCGCCCGCACGGAACGTCCGAACACGATAGTCATGCGGTGTCGTTTAAGACAAATTCCCAATATAGTATCGAAACGTGGGATACGTCTGTATGCTATCAGCGCCAACAACAAATGTGGCTACTTTTCATCAGCTAAGATCATAAGACAATAGTATTAAGTCCTTATGACACGAATCATCCCAGTTCGTTTTTTCTTGTTACTTGATAATTTACCAGGGTTAAGAACAGTTTTGGCCGGAACCAAAGAAATACTTGAATTTCATTACGTTTTCGTGAGAACAGATGTCGAGACAAGTTAGACTGACAGTAAATAACAGCAGGTAACTGTTATGCTGAAATGAACAGATGCGATATCGTCAAATTTACTTAAAACCAAGTCTATCTCTATGATTAAGCACAAAGAAGGGAAAAAGCATGGATAAATGAAACACTAATTGAGGAGTTTCGATTTCCCTACATTAGCACGAAAACATAAACAGCTGTCTCTGTATAGAAAGGGTAATACTATTCACCTGTTTGTGTCTCGGTAAACCCAGACAAAGAGACGTTAAAATCACAGGGAGATCCGCTAGCTGGATATTATTTTATAATACAAATATAATGTTGCTTCACAGTGACAAATTATCTCGATATAATGTCACATAAAACCTGTCTGCTGCTTCATCGAATTCATGCGAAATTGCACTTTTATAGTATTGAAAACTTATCGTTATAGGAATTCAAGCAGATATTGATATTGACGTAAACAAAGAAAATATTTCAAGTATTTATTTCTTGTCTCTAATAAATCAGATAATAACACGTAACTCAATGTGTAACAAGTAATATATCAATTAGTCCTTAATTCGATTGGTGGATTTTAAACTACAGTAAATGTTATGTTGATTTGCAAGACCACGTTGGCAGAATAATTATACGTGCATACAATCCACTGATGAAACGTTATCGAATACAGACACCCTATATAATGTCATACACAAGTATAATATTGACACACACTATATAATGTAATACACAAGTATAATATTGACACACACTATATAATGTAATACACAAGTATAATATTGACACACACTATATAATGTAATACACTAATATTGACACACACTATATAATGTAATACACAAGTATAATATTGACACACATATAATGTAATACACTAATATTGACACACTATATAATGTAATACACAAGTATAATGTAATACACAAGTATAATATTGACACACACTATATAATGTAATACACAAATAATATTGACACACTATATAATGTAATACACAAGTATAATATTGACACACACTATATAATGTAATACACATGTATAATACTGACACACACTATATAATGTAATACACAAGTATAATATTGACACACACTATATAATGTAATACACATGTATGATACTGACACACTATATAATGTAATACACAAGTATAATATTGACACACTATATAATGTAATACAAAAGATATAATGTAATACACAAGTATAATATTGACACACACTATATAATGTAATACACAAGTATAATATTGACACACACTAATGCATAATGTAATACACACACTGTAATATTGACACACTATATAATGTAATACACATGTATAATACTGACACACTGTATGTAATACACAAGTATAATATTGACACACACTATATAATGTAATACACATGTATGATACTGACACACACTATATAATGTAATACACAAGTATAATATTGACACACACTATAATGTAATACACTAATATTGACACACTATATAATGTAATACACAAGTATAATATTGACACACTATATAATGTAATACACAAGTATAATATTGACACACACTATGTAATACACAAATATAATATTGACACACTATATAATGATATAATGTAAATACACACACTATATAATGTATAATATTGACACACTATATAATGTAATACACAAGTATAATATTGACACACTATATAATGTAATACTAATATTGACACACTACATAATGTAATACACAAGTATAATATTGACACACACTATATAATGTAATACACATGTATGATACTGACACACTGTATGTAATACACAAGTATAATATTGACGCAAAAGATATAATGTAATACACAAGTATAATATTGACACACACTATATAATGTAATACACAAGTATAATATTGACACACACTGCATAATGTAATACACTAATATTGACACACTATATAATGTAATACACAAGTATAATATTGACACACTGTATGTAATACACAAGTATAATATTGACACACACTATATAATGTAATACACAAATGTAATATTGACACACTATATAATGTAATACACGAGTATAATATTGTTACACACTATATAATGTAATACACAAGTATAATATTGACACACTGTATGTAATACACAAGTATAATATTGACACACACTATATAATGTAATACACAAATATAATATTGACACACTATATAATGTAATACACAAGTATAAT